AAAACACTCAATTTTGATGAAAAAAATTCCTAAAACATGGAAAATGATTTAAAATGGAAAACAAATGTCTGTGCCTCATTTATAAGGACTATTATAATTATTTCAAAGTGATTTTGAATCGATAGGTCACATGACCTGGAAGCTATTGAATAAAACCCCTCAATTTTGATGAAAAAAAATTCCAAAAAAATGGAAAATGGCTCAAAATGGAAAACAAATGTCTGTGCCTCATTTATACAGACTAGTAGAACAATTTCAAAGTGATTTTGAATCAATAGGTCACATGACCTGGAAGCTATTGAGGAAAACATTATATTTCTTTGACAGGAATGTTAGGTTCGGTAATTTGTTGATAGTCCCTAAGTGAACCTTCGGGCGCTGCGGCCGGGAGCGGTGGAGAACCGCTGGCCGACAGTAGCGTTCATAAATCGGATCAACCTTGAGCTAAACGCCGCTTACTCCGCGGAGCTCGAATATCGAATATCCAACTTGAAACTAACTTCACTGCGGTTTTATATACTTGTATTATATATATTTAAAAAAAAAAAACTAAAGAGTTACCTAAGAATAATTTAATACTCGGTATCCAAACGCATATATCAAAACACACACACACAGACACCGCACACACACACACACACACACACACATTGCCTCTGTTCTCAGCCTGTTCCCGTAGCAGTGGATTTTCTCCCGCATTATTTTCCTCCAACAAAATATTCCACTGAACGAAGTACGTACAGCTCCCTTTTAACCTTCGTCTTCCCATTTCTGACGCTGGATCTTCAATATCCTCACGTTTGAAATACCAGGCGACTACAAACCGTGTGTTAGCTTTAGTTGCTAAGTTTTGGCTACGGTCTGTTGTCGCCCTTATATCAGCAGGAAAATGAAAAAATTAAGCACTGGATTGTACCAGCTAATTACTGGACACAACGGCACACAGAGGGTTGCCACCTTTCAGAAATTAAAATAAGGGATGCCCACCACAGCGCATGTCACTTTACTTTCATGGGGTGGGATGGCCACTGCAGCGATAGACAATATTTTATGGCAGTGTTTTTTTATTTTAAAAAGTGATCCAGAGTGGGTGCTGTCGTGGCGCAGGGGCAACGCACAACCCACATATTGAGGCCTTAGTCCTTGTGGTTGTGGTCGCAGGTTCGATTCCTGGCCTGGGGACATTTGTCTTCCCCCTCTCTCATTCCCCACTTTCCTGTCAAACTACCTTCAAACAAAGGCCACAAGAGCCAACAACACCTTTTGTAAAAAAAAAAAAAAGTGATCCAGAGAGCAATCATTCATACATAGAGTACTCCAATCAGAGTAGCACACCTTAAACATGTTTAAGCAAAGTGTAAAATGTATTCGGTAAACTGCTCAAGTACTGAGTAACTGATCATAACTCCTAATTTAATAAACAATATGTGTCCTCAAACAGGGCTACAAAAGTATAAAAATTATGTGAAAATTCTGGTATTGTAAACAGTATTACTAAAATATTTATACAAATAAGGAGTTAGGTTTGGAGGCTGGTTCTAGACAAATTTACCACGGGGGCCAGGATAGTTAGTGTTTTTCCATGGCAACACTTGAAAAAGAATGAAACAAAAAAAAAAAAACAGAGCAATATTTCATTATTTGACACTGAACACTGAATTAATATGTCAACATTTCTTAATAAAACAAACAGAAAGCCCTAGCAAATCTTTTTAAAGTAGGAAATATTTATGTATTTACTGTTAATCTCTTAGTATGATTTGTTCTTCAAATGGCCATTTATATTATTTTGGCTGATACTACTATACAATATATGAGCAAATAATTGATTATCTAATAATCAAATCATAACAGTCTACTAAAACCACAATAAGAAACTTAATCATAGCAAAATGTTCTGTACCATATCAGCCTCAGGATTTGACTGAGGGATGAAGAGACGCTGATGTCTGGTGCCAGGATGAACACATTTGTTTTGATTGCCTGTATTCATCCACACTAACATGATTCAGCCTGGGATTTAGTCTTCCCTCTGACGTCTGTATCTTTACGAGAGGCTTTGCTTCTAAGGACGGTGGAGTATCGGGTTAAGCATGTTTTTAAAAG